TTTGCTTTAGTGATTATTACATTGATACACTCAATCTTGTATTTAACCAAAGATCAATACAATTTTAAGTTAGGTAGGCAGTATATAATAGAAGTCAAATTTATGTTAATGACCGAAAAGCCATACTGTAAATGTTATTTACTGGGTTTTAATTTCACTATTTTCGCTGATAAATAAAATCCACTAAATTACGTGAACATATAAAATAACAAACAGCTGAGATAGCTCCGCCTTCAGCATTGCACATTTCAATTAGAGAATTGAAAACTCGGTACATCATAAAATGAACAAATCTGAGAGGTCCACCCGAGATACATTTGTACCTACATATATGTATATCAAAGCAATTGGAATTGCTGTTTCCAACAAGAAGTCAAAAATATTCACCAAAATTAGAGAATTAAAGATATCTACACCAATTATCAATGCAATCAGGCTTGTAGTTTTCAAGAAGAAGTTGAAAAGTAAAGAGTTGACATGTGAGCGTCTGCTGACTTGTATGATAAGCTCCACTCGACAAAATCGTCAGCGGAGCTAACAATAATACTCATTGTTCCCTTGACAAATTTGTTAAATTAAAACACAGTGAATAGTGAAATTAAATGTCAGTGAAATTAAATAGTATGTCAGTATGTCCTGGTTCAGCTTGCCACGTTTTTGAGTTCATCCCAAGTATACTTCCACACTGCAAGGCAAGTTACAGTACAGCTGAAATGTCTAGTATTTCTTGTAAATTCAGACCAAGAAATGTTTCAAATAGGAGACCCAACTGAAGCTTCAGTAACGATCTCAAACAAAAGGTGAGGGGGGGGGGGGGGGTGAGTGAGTATGGCACACACTTGTACCATGCACATCAAAATTCAAGACAAACTGTTATTCTGAACAACTTTAATGTTATTTATACTCAATAGTTCTTTTGAAAATGACTACAGAATAAATGCACAAGACAAAAATGGTGAAGTAACAATGAAATCCGCACATCCTGCCATACAATGTTTTCATCGGAAGCACAAGTTACAAGCACACAAAGAGGTAGGATGGGGTGGGGGCTAAGTAATTAAGACAAACATTTAGTGATTTGCTGTGGAACAGAATCATATGAACAACAAATTTAAAAAAAATATATATATAGCAAAAAGAGAGTGTAGATGTTTTTATATATAAGCATAAAGGACCATGGATCATCTCCAGGATTTGATATAGATTATTTTGAATAAAACATCTTCACATAGTTTAATAGCACACAAATAAATTTATTACTAAGAGAATGTTACTACTGTAAGTAAAATTAACATACAAGTATTAGTATAATAACACAAAGACACGTAATGAACAACACTACTTTAAACGTTACCGAACAGGTAATAAGAATTTTTTTTTTTGAAGAAACTCATAATGGTAGAGAGAAGTTCGTGCTACACATAATTCTATTGTGTGTGTGAGGTTTATTCCAAGTCAAACACGACTTAGGCAAACATCTAAAATGGTAACTACATTGTAAAACGTATACTCGCTCTTTTACACAAATTACCCAACCAACATTCTGGGATATCGTCAAATTGAAACGAGCCTACAAGTTCAGTACCATATCAATGTACATTGTACGACTGATTCTGCAAAGGTACTTTTTCTCCGTATTAAAACTGTCTATAGTTGCATTGGGTGACACAATTCACATGATGTTCAATCGCAGTGCCTTGAACAGTGTAAACACTTGCTTATTTGCCATTTTAGATTTTGATGAACATCTACAGGAAGAAATGCAAGTGTTGTTTGAAATGGACAACACTTAGACTAAATTACAGTAATGTGGTCGTTCTCCGTTTGGTTCACATGTAATATTTTTTGTCCCCCACAAATAACCATTTACAATAAAACAGCGTAACACATGTCCCCTATTAGCCGCGAGATGTACTTTTTTCTCACCAACTAGGTGGCGTAAAAGAGACAACCCACTGTCCAATTGCACTGAAATGTGCATGGTATCAAATTACCAAACACTACTGCACAATTCTAAATATTTTTTTTCGTATTTTAGTAATACTGAAATTACCAACAGTTTATGAATATTATTTTTACACTGACAATGACACAAAACTGTTGTATTGTTGAATATTTCTCTTTAAGATATCAGCACATGGGCCAAGGAGACGCTCAAAGCGACATCTATCCAACTTTATACATTTAAGTGGACCTCTGGCAACAACTGTAGCAGCACGAGGACGATTGAGCAACAAAGCAATTTCACCTAAAAAAACAAACAAACAAAAAACGTGAAATAAATAAAATGATCAGCTGTATTTAGTTGTGTATTTAGGGATGTTTGGGATGAATAGATTTTAGTAATCATTTTCTTCATATTTTGAGTCACCCCCCCCCCCTCACACACACTATCACAATAATGCAAAGACCGAAGACTTTTGACAAACAAACAAACTTTAGTTTGGCAATCAGACTTGTGGTTTTTAACAAGAAGTCGAAATTATCATTTTTTACTAAAAATGACAAAAATATTCATCAATTACAGAATTGAAGATATCATCACGAAATGAACAAATCTGACAGGAATACAACAAGAATCTATGTTGCAAATAGGAAGGCATTTGGTTTAACGGTTTTGAAGAAGACAAAAATGTGAAAAGTTACGACATACTACAAACGCCGAACGACGTCAACAGCAGAGCTAACTAAACTGAATGCAGTTTTCTGAGAGAGCTGGTAGTTATGGATTAGACAGATTTGTTTATTTGATTATATGACTGACAAGCAAGCTTAAATTATATTTTATAACAAGCAGCCTCTCGGCTGAGATAGCTCCGCTGTTAGCAATGCACATTTCGATTAAAGAACAGAAGATATCATTAGAAAATGAACAATATGCATAGTATCAATGCAATGGGACTTGCTGTTTTCAACAAGAGTTCAAAAATATCATTTTTGACCATAAAAGAAAATATCACTTTTTACCAAAAATGACAAAAATATTCATCAAAATTAGAGAATTGAAGATATCATCATGAAATGAACAAATCTGAGAGAGGTCCACATGTAGTACCTATATATGTAATACCAAAGCAATTGGACTTGTCGTTTTTAACAAGAAGTCGAAAATATCACTTTTTACCAAAAATGACAAAAATATTCATCAAAATTAGAGAATTGAAGATATCATCATGAAATGAACAAATTTGAGAGTGGTCCACATGTAGTACCTATATATGTAATACCAAAGCAATTGGACTTGTCGTTTTTAACAAGAAGTCGAAAATATCACTTTTTACCAAAAATTACAAAAATATTCACCAAAATTAGAAAATTAAAGATATCATTATGAAATGAACAAATTTGAGAGTGGTCCACATGTAGTACCTATATATGTAATACCAAAGCAATTGGACTTGCGGTTTCTAACAAGAAGTTGAAAATATCACTTTTTACCAAAAATGACAAAAATATTCACCAAAATTAGAGAATTGAAGATATGATCATGAAATGAACAAATCTGAGAGGTCTACCCAAGGTACATATACACCAAGTATCACAGCATTCAGACTTGTAGTTTTCAAGAAGAAGTCGAAAATGTAAAACATTGACACGGACGACGGACAATCACTCATATGATAAGCTCCGCTCAACAAAGTCGACAGCGGAGCTAAAAAAGGATAATAATAAACTTACCAAAGTAATCTGATGGGCCTAGTTGACCAACCTCCATGTATTCATCTCCCTCTGCTCTGCGTTGTAATACAGCGGCTTGTCCCTAGCAAATAAAACAGAGTCAAACGATTGTAACCTTCATATTGTAAATATTTCACAAGACAGACATTTGACTACTAGCTGATACACGTAAACCAAATGATACTTAGTCTAAAATGTTTGGTTATATTGAATAATTATGTATGTATACCAGTGATATACTTGAGCAAATTTTGAACTGGTTGCCAGACAATCAGTGATATGACCAGCTCCGCTTGACAATGTGGACATCAGAGCTAAAAGACTGTTGAAAGTCTGTTGGTTGATATACCTCCACTGTATAGTTAGACAGTTGAAAATAGCATTTGTTACCAAAAATAACAAAGATATTTACTCAAATTAGAAAATTGAAGGTATCATCACAAAATGAACAAATCTGACTAAGGTCCACTCAAGTATCAAAGCAAGCTAACTTGCCTTTTTTAAGAAAAAGTTTTTGCTACACACACAGGAGGTAAACATTTTGTTAGTGAAATAATGTTCACAAAAATTAACTAAACTTGTCTATCAAAATTTAAGCTGTTAACATTAAAATTGCTAAAGTTCTAGTGCAAATTCCTCTTGCAACTGTCTACTATATCTCACAGCTGTTTGCCTCCTGATGACCTGCTACACTTAGTACACAATTCACATTTTGTTGGCATACCTCTGTAATAATGAAGAAATCTTCTCCTGCCTGGCCTTGTTCAACTATCTTTTCACCGTCTTCAAACTGACAGGCCTCCAAAGCATCAGCTATTGTTAGACGCTCCCATTTATCCAAATTTTCTGTGAAAAAAAGTATTATTATGTACCAACAAAATTAACACGATTCATAAAACTAAAGTGAATTCAAAAAAAGTTATTACGTAAGAGCTGGGTTAAAATCAAAACCTACAACATAACTGATGACTTATTGGTACCAGAAGGCAATTATTCAAAAATAAAAGCTTCTGTATGAAGACATTTAGTGTGATATTATACATCTGCAGTTCAAAAATTTTACCAGCTGAACACTTTATGTTCAAATTTTGTTTCACATGTTTGCACTTTATTTATTCTTTATTTACAACGGATGTAGTGGCAATGTAGCATGTGATTGTAATAGAATCATGTCGCTGAATGTAATCAAGGAGATGCTTGACGGCACAAGATCCATTTCTCTGACTATGTGTTATCAATATGATCATTGTACAGCATTTTCCTAATAAGCTCATTGCACTTACCAAGTATTGAGACTTTACTGAGGAATTCTTCATACATTCTTCTTTTTCTAAGTGTACTTCCCTGAAAACATAAACATCCATCACAACACATTCATCTGAAGTTATCACACACAATCATAACAGCTTTCACGGAAATCTCACCCCAATATACATACAAGATGTCTCAAGTGTTGGTCCCTTTCATCACAACTCAATTGAGCTAAGCAAGTAACAACCAAAACATCCAAATGTCCCTTAACTACCGGTACATGGCAAACTACAATTTTCAAAGATACGATTTTTGCCTCATATACCTTTACCCCAATCCATGATATGGCAAATTAGTACATGTACTTTTATGAAGAAGTGACTGTTGTTGTGAACACATGCTCATAGTGTGAAGACACTTTAAGGCATATTTTGATATGGCGTCAAGACTCTTCAAGGCATATTTTGATATGCCACCCCCATGCACATTTTCTTAGAAGTTCTTATATTAGATTACTGCAGCCTTGAGTATGTAGTTAACATTCTTGGAACAGCTTCAGCATAATATTGGGGGGGTTGGGGGGGTTAATTTTCTTCTTACCGAAACAATGTCAATGTCAACTTTATAAACAAATTTAGCATAATATATTACTTCTACATTTAGGTCATCACTGATATCACTTAGCTTTTTGTACATTACTTGTAAAGAGTGGCAAAAATTGAAAACAGCAGAAAGCATTTTAGCTACATTTAATTATCTTTGAATAATGCGTACGTGGTCAACCCCCCCCCCCCCCAGCTTCATAGCTTCATAGTTGATTTGTATCATAATATTATATGTTAATTGCTAATTGTATATTCATGTTTATTGTAATTGTGCCTTCCTTTTTATCCAAAATGATCTCCTACTCTGTAATGCTCCGGCGAAGAATCCTGTCCATACTATGGACCATAAAACCAAATGCTTCCTCTCCCTTCTACGTTGACACAGCAAGGCAGAAGATTGTATTTCCATTATCAGAAAAATAACTTGTTACAGTGAGTGTCCTTCCAGCAACTGACTAATACATCCGTACATTCACTTTAACTTGCGGCAGTATTACACTAATGATAACGAGTGCAATTTGTCAATAATGAATTGTACTCTGCTGATGAAGCCTTACAGACAATCAGTTATTTGGCTGAATGCAATCACCATTTTAAGAGTACTTTTGCTCAGTTTTTTCTCTAAATACAGGAAAGCCTCTAAATCTCCAGCATTAAAATTAAGCCACACATTTCAATCTACAATAATTCAGTACGAAAATTATGAGCACAAAGGAGATTGTGTAACGCAACACAAATAATACTACCACATCTCAAACTAATTATAAAAAAATAACAAATTTTAATAATACTTAAACTAGATATGCAATATGTAAATCTTTAAACCAAATAAGATATAAAATGTCAAATGAGTTTACAATTAAATAAAAAAAAATTTTTTGAGGAAAAGGTGAATAAATTAAATTCTTGTCTCTAAAAACCATAAAAATAGTGTGCGCAAGGTCGTAAAATTCTGAAATAATGAAAAATATATTTTGTTCTTTGCCAAAACATGTTCTTTTCTTACTCTGTATTATACCTTTTCATATCTATATTTATTATTATACCAACAACTTAAATACGTAAAAAATAAGGAAATTTTTATCATTATATTTTGATGAATGACCTTACATACCATGAGAATTCGTCTATAACTGTCTCTATCAATACCCCAGAGCTTGACATCAGTTCTGGCCTGTCAATGATAAATTTAGGTTAATTTCTGCACTCAAATCACCATGACAAAGTAGATAGTCAAGAATTGATGGATGCACATCAGTGATGCTCAATAAAATGTACTGTATTCAAGCAATCTGACATAAAGCTGGATGTGTACATAATATAAGACATGATTTATTTTATTTAATGTGCATGTATAGCCACATTTCAGAGAACTATGAAGTATATTAGACAATGGTCTCTATGTGGATGATGACAACTCAAAGACAAAAAGTGATTCTAATTTAATTTTCAATACACACAAATCGATCCCAAAAAAATAAATTTAATTTCAAATATTTTCCCTCGACATTATAAACAGACTGTAAGCAAACAGTGATAAGGCAAACAAAAATGATCTAATGAAAGTAACTGATGGCCTATTTAATTTATTAGCAACATAGAGCGTGAGGAAGTTACTCATTCTCAGATACTTACCTTAATTGTGGCTGCTCTGGGTGTGCCGTAGATGAGTGCTAATTCACCAAAACTACCACCATCACCGATGGTGACTACCAACTCATTGTTAACATACACCTAAAATGCCAATATACATAAATAGATCAATTAAATTCAAGCACAAAAGCATGTATTTCAACTCAGCTTAACTTAGGTAAGATCTTTCTGACCAATAACATGTCAGCTGGTCATATCCAAACTCTGACAAGCAGCAGATTGAAGTTGAGTAAATATTCAGCTATAAATCCTTAATTGAATAAAATTTCCTATCATCATTTGACAAGACAAAAAAAAATAAACAAGCAGCCTATCGGCTGAGATAGCTCCGCTGTTAGCAATGCACATTTCAATTAAAGAACTGAAGACATGATTAGAAAATGAACAATATGAATAGTATCAAAGCAATCAGACTTACAGTTTTTAACAAGAAGTCGAAAATATCACTTTTTACCAAAAAATTACAAAAATATTCACCAAAATAAATTAATTAGAGAATTGAAGATATCATCACAAAACGAACAAATCTGAGAGAGGTCCACATGTAGTACCTATATATGTAATATCAAAGCAATCGGACTTACAGTTTTCAACAAGAAGTCGAAAATATCACTTTTTACCAAAAATATTCACCAAAATTAGAGAACTGAAGATATCATCACAAAATGAACAAATCTGAGAAAGGTCTACATGTAGTATCTATATATGTAATATCAAAGCAATTGAACTATTGGTTTTTAACAAGAAGTCGAAAATATCACTTTTTACCAAAAATTACAAAAATATTCACCAAAATTAGAGAATTGAAGATATCATCACAAAATAAACAAATCTGAGAGAGGTCCACATGTAGTACCTA